TGAAGTTCTAAAGGCAAAAGCTGAAACAAAGGCTAATGCAACAGTAATTTGTGCTCCTTCCCCCTTTTACAGCTAAAACTATTATAGAGGCAAGGAAGGCTGAGCTAGATTTGGCTATTTGCATCACTGAGGGAATCTCTCAACATGACGTGGTTCTTGTCAAGGCTGCTATCAACAAGCAGTCGAAAACTCAGCTCATAGGTCCAAATTGTCCCGGAATTATCAAGCCTCGGGAGTGTAAGATTGGAATTATCTCTTAATACATTCACAAATCAAGACATATTGGAATTATCTCACGATCTGGCACACTAACTTATGAAGCGATTTTTCAAACTACTGCAGTCAGCCTTGGACAGTCAACATGTGTCGAAATTGGTGGGGGTACTTTCAATGGAACGGAATTTGTTTATTGCATAGAAAAGTTCCTTGCCGATCTTCAGACAAAAAGTGGTACCAAAAAGCCCATTGGTGCTTCCATTGAGAGTTGTAAGGATCACATATGGCAAGTTATAAGAACATCATCTATATCGTCATATTATCTAGATGATTACACTGGTGGTGTATATCGTTGGCAAGATGGGGCTATTGTAGCAAATAATCCTACTAATTTTACTGTATGAGAAGCACAACTATTGTGGCCTGAAACTAAAATTGATTGCTTAGTTTCAATTGGGTGCGGGTCTATTCCAACCAAAGTTCATAAGGGTGGTTGGAGCTATTTAGACATTGGACAAGTTTAGATTGGGAATGCGTGTTGTGTTGACCGTGTGGAGGAAGCTTTGAGCGCATGCTTCCCATGCTGCCTTGTGTACAATATTTTCGATTCAGTCATGTTGATGATCACTGTGGTATGGAACTAGATGAAACGGATCCAATAGTTTGGCTAAAGCTAGAGGATGCTTCAGATGAGTACGCAGTTCAGAATCAGGTCCAAGAAGATGAAATGAATGAGGCATATACCCCATTGCATTACCTGCTTAATCTAAGGGTGTTGAAGAGAATGGGGCAGTTACTAACAACATACAAAGAAGACATCCCGACTTTGAACCTTGAGGACAAGGTTAATTTAAGGGGAAGGGATGTCATGGGCTAACTTGGTATATATTGGCCCATTTACTTTTATCTAGTTGAGCTTGTTTTATTGTGGGCTAGCCCAAAGCCCTTTATTGTTTTTGTCTATATAGATTGTATTGAAACTTTGTAAACAGAATATTGATGAATTAACGTGGTTACAAACCCGTCTCCTGCCTTTCTTTCTCCTTCGTCTTGCACCATTCTGTTATTCCTCTTCTTCTTCCCTTTTGTTGTCTTCTTCATTGGTTCTCCTACTTCCTCGTTTTCTTCTCGGTTGTTCTTCTCATCTTCCCTGAATCTCCCTTCTTCCTCTTCTTCACCATTCTCTGCATTTCAGTTTTTCTTTTCTGTTTCTATTTTGCTGTTTTGGTGTAATTTTATCTCAATCAATACAATGGCAGTTGGGTTATTGAATCCCAGTTTAGTATATTAAATTGTTGGTGTTGATTTTGATTAAGCTCAGTTAGTTTTGGTTGACGTTGAGCTTCAACCATTACACAATTGGATTGTCAACTAATGGTGGGTTCATGATTGGGATTTGGGCCTCATTTTATTTAAAAAAAATAAGAGGCCCAAAACATCAAAGAAAATTTTCATCTTCCTCCGACTTTTCCACAGGCTACCACTATAAATTCCATTCTGCAGGCCGGTAGCCACTGCAAACTCCAGACGAGCTAGCACGCGCGGCTGCGCCCCCTCCCAAGGTACTGCTTCGCCACTGCAAAAAGGTCATCACACAGATTCCACATTCAAGTAGTGGAATAAAAAAAACACTAAATAAGAAACTAAAGAATTAAGTGGTTCAGAGTAACGTGCTCTTACATCTACTTGAGAACTTAGGAGGGAATTAACTATATGAATAGAAGTTTGTCCATGCTCATAATCCATGTTCATCTATTGAATGAATTTATTGCCTACAGATGGCTGGCAGGACTTTAGTAGTTCATGTGTTTCTCCGATTGCTTAAGCATTTTGCTTCCAACGTGAGCTAGCATTAGTCTGTCAATAGTTGTGTCTTTAACATTCTTGTCCACCAATGTTGAGCAATGCATCAGAAGATAGTAAAAGATGGTTGTTCCAAGAGTGAGGAGAATTGGCAAGGGGACAAGTATTTTAGCCTCGATGCTTGGTGACATTTCCCATCATGTACAAGGAACACGCATGAAACCTTGAACAAGGAAATTTGAACACTTTAGTTTAAAAGAAATTGGAGACATTAATAACTGACCATTTAGCCTAGGTGCATTTTCTCCATCATTGCTTGAGATAGGTCATTTGTGTCAACGTCACACCTAGAGAATTGCCACTTGTTTCTCCCCTTCCTCTTTTTTTCACCCTTACTTGTAGGTTTGATATTTGTAATGAGCTTTAACCACAAAGTGTAGGTCACTCCAATTCTTGTATTTTTGCCACTTGCATTTCTGCAAAAATATAGGAATAGATATAACACTACAATTTGGTTAAGGAACGTGGGAAGGCATGCATCATGCAGTGGGATTGTTTTTGTACTCTGTAAGTAGATATGGTAATTATCGTATATCACAGTAGTAATTAGGTTTGTTAAGAGATAAAATCGAATAGATAAAACCTTAGACCAATTTATAAGGATTTAAACTATTTCTCTTAATAAGATTGACCTTTTAAAATTGAACTGTAAATCTTAATATGGTTTCAGAGCATTTCTTCTCTAACAAGAACGATTGTATCCCTGTCGTTTCATTTACCAGTGCCCCTCTATGTTCTCAACACCAACAACTTTGATAAGCTGACACCATCAAACTACCCCCAATGGCATGCCTTGCTTGATGCACTGTTTATAGGTTACGATCTTCTCGAATGCATTGATGGTTCCACTTCCGCTGCCACACCCTCCACTGATTTGCCTGCCTCAGCCTCGGCTCTTACTGCCACTCATTGGCTTCAACAGGACAGTTCCTGTTTCATGCCATTCTCCGGATTGTCGACACTCCTATCAAACATTTGATTGCAGCATCCAAAACCTCGCATGAGATATGGACCAAACTGAGTGATAAACTAAACGCGTTTTCAGCAATTTAAATACAGACTCTAAAAAACTGAAAATGAACCTAAAACTACAAAATGAATCCGAACTAAACGTGCCCTTAGCTTTTGAAACAAATCTTGGCCATTAAGATTGGAAAATTTCCATGATTTAGAACAATATCAAGATGAACACAAAGTGCTTTCAAATTTCAATTTTTTTTTTTTTAATGATTTAGAAAAATCAAAATTCGATAACAATTCACGCATCACAATCAGTTAAATTTAATATAATATATTCATTAGCTCCTTTGGTATTATTGTTACAGTTGGACTAGAGATTGGGAAGAATCATGGGGAGAATTCTGAAAAGAATATGGAACTACAAACGACGATTTTCTAACACATTCGCGATGAGATTAGTTTCCTTTTCTTGGAGATTGAAATTAATTGTGGAAGGATTGCAAATATTGAAAATATCTTTTGGGTTAATTTTTTTTTTGGAAATAAACGTGATTTCTTGAAAAGGGGTGGACTAATTTTTAGAAGATGTAGTTCATAACAATGGGAAGAATACAAATATACATCAATAATTTTTTATTTTATTTTTATTTGTTGGTTATAGTCTAATTACATTTTCACTAATTCAGTGTATATATCATTTTTTTTCTTTTGCTTATTAATTGGTATATTTTTCAACAAAATGATCTCCTACCCATGGTAAGTGTCACGAAAATATTTTTCGAACTAAAACAATCGCAAGTGTACGGATAGTTAACAAGTAATAAAGTTGATTTGAATTCAAGTATCGTTCCACGAAAATTAATTTAGTTCAATTTTAATTATCGTGAACTTAACCGAAAAAATAATAAAGTGATATATGTGTCTATGACTAAATTATATCTAAATTAGTTTACTTATGTATTTGTGACTAAATTAACTAAAACAAATGTAAATTATGCTAAATGCAAGTTAATGTGTTCTAATATATGACAAGCGTACTAGGAATCCGAATTTCTATGTAATAATAATTTTTAACCTTAATTCTACACTTTGATAACACGATCGAATTTTAAAGAATCAATGTTCCAATTTTATTCAATAATCTCTCTCGAGTAATGTTAAACCTACTCTTATATATGATTCGACTATATTTATATGACGGATGCGAATATACAAGAGCCTTTGAATTTTTATGAACACTTAAAAATTCACATAGAATATAGCGGTATAGTTCTATTCTCTATCGGATCCTATGACGATTTACACAATGTCGAGTACATTTTCCTTCTTTCGAATGCATAAAACAAGCAATCAAATTCATACAACTACAATGCACAATAATTGTAGAGAAAATATAATCATGTAAATTATTAAAAATTCAAAAATATGTTTTCAATGTCAAATATGTAAAACTAAAAATTAAAAACTCATATTACAAGGTTCATAGTTCTCCTAGCACAATGAATCTAGCCTAACATGTTGTGAAGAAGAAAGCAAAAAATATAAAGATTGTTCATTACCCGAAATTTTTTTATTTCAATCTTGAAGTTTTTGGATTTGCCTCCTTTTTGTAATTAATTCTTCACCATAATTATGTTTTGGGAGTTAGTATTTTTAATCCTTCTAAAGAATTTTCTGGTTGACTTGGCCTAGACTGTGCCCCATAGGAAATGGAGCAATTGCCCAAGTATACTAAATAGCCCATGTAATTAAGGTTAAAAGCAGGGCGATCGCCCGGCTTATATAACTGGGTGGATGCCTAGTTATAAAAAAAACTTATAGAATTTTCCTTTTAACTCTTTTCTTCATTCTTTTTTCTATCTTGATCCTCCATGTTAAATTATTTCGATTTTTGGTCCTTCAATTTTTATTCAAATGCATATTAGTTCCACATCTTCCATCCATTAGCTAATTGGTCCTTCTTTCGTTTCCAATTACTTATAAACGGGTCCAAAACTAAAGCAAGATAAAATTAATCTAAGATAAGTAAAATTCAATACTAAAACGATACAAAAGTTTAGTAATATAATCCGAATAAGTGCACAAAAATATACTTATCAGTGGGTATGAATTATCTTGCTCATCACTGACCTGGACCTACGATTTTTGACAATTCAATCTTGAATTGTCAAAAAATGTAGGCTTAGTTGACGTGGTGTTGTCACATCAGCTGTGAGTATGTTTTATTGTACACACCATGAGTATGAGATTATTTTTATATTTTTCAATTGGGCTATATTATGTGAGTTGGACAATGGGATTCCTTTTTCCCCTTAATTTTTTTTTTTTTTTTTATAACTTTATTAAAAAGTTTTCTTCCAAGAATCTTCCTAAAATTATTAAAAAAAATATTGATGTATCAAGTATTAACACGTGTATGGTGCACCATAATTATAGGGTCTTGTGCATAGCACCTCTCGCACGGCTTCAAGACCGTCCCTTCATATACCTTTTTGGGATGTGGAATACACAGGCTTCGTTCCTAGGCTGCCCAACTCTTGCAAGTTAAATTTGCCACAAAAAAGAAGGGTCTATTCTTCGCCTCCAACGTTTGGTTTCAATGCAGAAATGGTCCTTAAAGTTTGGTTTTTTGGCATGGACATCTTTAGAAATTGATTATTTTATGATAAAAAGACCAATATGCCCTTAATTTTAATTAGAGAAAATTGCATTTGGATCCCCAAACTTTGCAAAAGGAATAACAATTTTTTTATTTTTTTTTGGGAATGAAGACTTTATTGGCCGAATTGATTGATGTTCCCCTATTTAGTTGAGAGTAAATAAAATTTTTAGTAGATCTTGATAAAAGTTGATGAAATGTGTGATTAAAATTAATTATTAATTTTAACTCAAGATTTTAATCGAATTTTAATCCAAACCAAACATGTGTTTAATCTTTCTTTTTGTATTTTACGAACTATGAAATAATTTAAATTTAAAATAGTTATAAGTCCCTATTTGACAACTATTATTTTAAAATTCTTTAATTCTTATATTTATTTTCAATCATACATTTACATAATAAATTATTTTGCGCGTAAATTTAAAATTTATCCCAGCTTTTTAACCTCACATTCAACAAAAAAATCACTATTTAAAACTTTATTTTGTCAAAATAATGACCTTCAAACAGGGCTAATTTAACTAACATGTTAAAAAATTATTATTTTTATTACGAAGTAACTACACACCATGCATCTCCAAGAAGCATTTCTTCATTTATACTTAATTTCAATTCCCCCGACCGAAGCATTTTGTTCATGTAGCATAAATATAAATTAGTCTAACGTTTATTTATTAATTAATATATTACTAAAGAACAAGAGAGATAAAGGGAAGATAAAAAATCACACCCTCCATCACCACAAAGCAATTCTTCAGATAATTATTCAGCTCTTGCCCTGGGTCAAGTCCTTGCACGATTCATGATCATCAAAATCTCTGATCACACTACGGTAAGGACTATGGAGCTGCATGTCTGTGATCATTTGACGAAGTTCAGAAGCCTCTTCTTTAAGCTGAGCATTTTCTTGTATGGCTTGATCACGGCTCTCCGAAACATGGTTCAGTTTGTCAATCAGTTGATGATTCTCATTTCTGAGCCAGACGACCTGCGACCAGAGCTCGTCAAGGTGCTTTTGCTTCCTCATACGTGATCGCCGTGCAGATTCTCTGTTCGATATCATTCTTCGTTGCTTCCTCTCGTTTATTATCCTGACTTGCTGCTCATCAGTTTCATCCGAAGTCGAGTTACCTGCCGATTGGGGATTGAATTCTTGAACTTGGGGAAGTTGATACAAATTGTTTGACAAACTGTTAAATTGATATGCTGGTGTGGCGTTGTGAATTAGGCCAAAATGAGAAGGGTATTGGTTTAAATTTGATGAAAGTAGATATTCGAGTTGTGTTAACTCATCGGGTTGCATTTTTCGACTAGTATTGGGTTTACAGGAAGGCAGAAGCTTTGGATTGGCTGTATTGCAGTTTTCGGGTACAAGAAGTTGGTAGTGGAAGGCGAAGAAAAACTAGAAGAGATGGGGTTATTTATAGAGTGGATAAAGGTGTCGTGGCCCCCATTCTATTAATTTAGAGCAACTGTAGAATTCTTTAAAGCCGTGACTTATGCATTCATTACTTAATTTATGGATCTCAATAATATTCAAAATATCAATGTTATGAGGTAATTCAATATAGAGCGTGTTCGATAGAGATTAAAATCAGATTAAAATTGAAAAATTTGCCGTTATTGTTGACTTTTATTAGACGAGCAGGACTCAATAACGACTATATTTTCAATTTTAATTGGATTTTAAGCCTAAAAAACATGCTCATAATATTGTTCGAAAAAGTTAAAAGTCGAGGTTCAAAGTTCAAGCCTCCGCTTGACTCTATAGTATCTTAAAAGTTCGACGTATCTTGCAATAATCTTCGTAAGTTTTTAGTTTGAGAGAACTTGATGTAATTCACCTAATAAAACGAGTAGAAAATGAATGATGTGCGGATAATTTTCCGAAAGATGGGGTTTGATATTAACCACACAACTTGTTATATAATTACCCTATGAGAAGTCTCGTACGGTTGGTGGTGGGGGAGGGAAGGTGATGAGATGTGGATATGTACTTTGAAATGCAGTCTTCCACTAAAGAAAAGAAGTTGATATTGCATCAAGATGCAGAAACTCTATGGAGGCAAATGTTTCTCCTGCACATTGGGTCAGGTTAAGTGGCCTCAATATTTGGTCATCAATACAATTAGACAGATATTGACTCCTCTTTCTTTTCTTGTCTCAGTGTGTTTCAATTTTTCTCTTTATCACAAAATACTTAATAATTTTTCCAGTCAAAGTGTTTCTCTACAAGAGGATTTGGAGTTTTTTGTCAATTGTGCTTGGAGAGATGCTTTTAGATTACCATTTTTTACCAATCCAATTTCGAGAGCAACTATTCATAACTCACTCCTCGTAAATTTAGCGCATAATTCAAGTAAATCATACAAAAATGAATTGTGAATAGTAGTTTTCGATATCGGATTGGTGATAAACGGCAATTTAAAAGCATATCTAAAAGTACAATGGACAAAAAGGTGTATTGATTCGTCCATTCAACTACATTAATCATGTTCAGTACAATGTTGATTGATCGGGAAAATACTACAGTATCTTATGGTATTTTCTTGATTCTCAATAAATACTCTACAATCGTTTATTCTTAAATTATTATTGATTGTTTATTTTTAAATTATCATATTTGGCGTGATATCAGTTTACTTAGACTTTAGGTTAAACCTTGTCATTCTTTTATTCTCGACTCGTCCAACCCATTTTTAGTTTCTCTTTCCATGTGGAGTGGCCAATTATTTTTAAGAAAACTGTATTACATTTTTCTTCTACTTTTATTCTCATTTTTAGGCCGGGACGCAGTTGGGTTTGAATACCAAATTAGTCGGTTTGGATGAATTTCAACCCAAATCAACTCGGTTCGGTTCGGTTTGGTCAGACGATTTGGATTTTAGTCCAAATTGATTTTTTTGTTTTTTAATATTGTCTGAGTCCACTTAAATTACAAGAACTAAAATAACTAAATAATTTTATATTACAAGAATTATTGACCAACGAATAAAATCAGATTAATTCAGATGGATCAACAAAAAATGTAAGAAATTTGTTTTTTTTTTTATGCATTATGTAACATGACTGCTTGAGAATGTTAAAAAGCATAACATAATGAGCTTTGAAAGGAAATTCTCA